TGTTGATTTATTTTAATGAAAAATTGTGGAAAGAATGAGTTGGTAGAAATATTAAGAAATTGTGGGTGTTATGACTTTGAAAATATATAAGCTATATACATTTATAAATATATGTAAAGGTTCTTGAAATTGGGAAACAATTTTTCCTTTATGATTTCTGTCAAATATGTGCCTTATAGTTTGTGTAGTATGCATTCATGATGGAAACACATATTCACCATGCTAAATAATCTTTCAATCTCATGTAACAAGTTATATTTTAAAGTCTTACACGGGATTTTATCATGTACTACGTGAACATTTTGATAATAATTTTTTTTAAATGAATTTTGAGAACCCAACTATATTTTAAAATGGTTTTATTAAACTCGGAGATTTGAGAGTAAGCTGGTTGTCACTCCGATTAAGTGTGACCCTTGTGCACAAGTGAGCTGTAGCTAGAGAATTTTGGGTCTCCGACGGGCTGTTAGACATGACTGGGGCCAGGGTCTATGATTTTATGTGGCTAGGTCACAAGTGGTTATACGCGGTTGTGACCGCCTACTTTTCTCCGATGTCAGCCAACATCGTTGAGACTGCCATGACATGTGGGATACGATGGAGCAGAACTCCCGGATGTTATTACGTGGAAGTGGGTCCATGCACTATTATTGCTATACCTACTCGAGAGTGATATCTCTTTGTGTTTTTCACGTAAGTAATATTTGCATGGTGAAAAATAATAGTTTTTTGCTGCTCCCTTACTTATATGCTGAAATCTGATATAATTCTTTGTGTATGAGGTGAATTATGAAATTGCTCATAACCTTTGTAAAATGTTGGATTTTATGGGAGCATACATGATGACATTTAATTACTTTAAACCTGATGTTAAGTGATTTCGATGGTAGGAATCTTTCCATGACTTGGGTTGATATTTGATTTAAATGATTATTTAGTATAAATTTACTTATTTTCATATAAGGCACAAACCTCCCTTTTTGAGTAAATTGCTTACATATATTCTTACATTTTTAATATTCAAATCTTCTGCTTTTACTTTGTTTCCCATTTATGCCCTACTCATGGAGTTGATGATCACTAAGTCTATGAGACTCACCCCTCCGTATTTTCTTTTGAAGATAAGTAATCAGTTCTAGTACTTTGTTCAGCATCTCTAGGCTGGCTACAACCTAGGTAATGGCATCTCTAAATTTCCACTCAGAGTCGCTCTGCTGCCTAGAGGTCCGTTTGTGTCAACTAGTCAGGCTTGTAATCAATAATAGTACTGGAAATCTACTAGCTAAAGCTTAAGGTTATGTAATGACTACTACATATTATGTTGAAATCGTATGGAATTATCAAACCTGGTTATTAGTTTCGAGATGCCACATTTTAAATATTGTGATTATTTGGTTTAAATGAACTATGGCTTAAAATTGTAATTTGAGTTTAAATTGCTAGGAGGTTTAACTAAGGCTTGTTTGGGATTTGACGGGTTCACTCGCAAGTCTCGAACACTGATAGTGATCGAGGGAAGAGGTCGTTACAGCACACAATCATAATTGTTCTCCAGCCTGGGCACATACCAATAAGTAAACATACATATACATTCACATCAATTTTCTAGCCTAGGTATTCTCATCTAGGCATACCTTATACACACATATATATAGTTTTCTAGCCTAGGTTCATCTGGCTGGGCATGCATCTTTTATCTTAGTACCATGGCAGCACATACATTATGCGAAATGCATCACATGCATTTAATTAAATCCCACTCACTTGGATAATTGGAGACACACCCTAATCAAGCTCAACCTTTAGCCTTTAGTCATTCTCTAGCTCACAAATGCATCAATAACCTCCATTCTTCCCTTATATAAATCAAAATAATAGAAAATTATTTATATCCTAGCTTTGAAAAATATCCAAGCTTTTCAAAAAAACCTAAATCCAATATATAAGGTTAATTTCTTTATTAGTTTTTTTTTCCAGCTTAAAAAAAATGCTCAATTTTCCAACAAATGAGTTAAACCTTT